TGGAGCTGGAGGCGCTGGCGTTGGAGGCGCTGGAGCTGGAGACCCTGGAGCTGGAGACCGTGGAGCTGGAGGTGCTGGAGCTGGAGGCGTTGGAGCTGGAGGCACTGGAGCTGGAGACCCTGGAGCTAGAGGCACTGGAGCTAGAGACCCTGGAGCTGGAGGCGCTGGCGCTGGAGGCGCTGGAGCTGGAGGAGCTGGACCTGGAGACCCTGGAGCTGGAGGTGCTGGAGCTGGAGGCGCTGGAGCTGGAGACACTGGAGCTGGAGACACTGGACCTGGAGACCCTGGAGCTAGAGGCACTGGAGCTAGAGACCCTGGATCTGGAGGCGCTAGCGCTGGAGGCGCTGGAGCTGGAGGAGCTAGAGCTGGAGACCCTGGAGCTGGAGGTGCTGGAGCTGGAGGCGCTGGAGCTGGAGGCACTGGAGCTGGAGACCCTGGAGCTAGAGGCACTGGAGCTGGAGACCCTGGAGCTGGAGTCATGAGCCTGAGTCTCGTCCTGCCTCGCCTGTTAAAGCTGTTTGCACTGGTTGTCGTGTTCCTTGTCCGCGTCCTCCTCCTGTCCCCGGCACTCACATTATGGCACTTCGTCCTTCCTCTGTTCCACTGCGAATTCCCTTGCCGTCTCCTCCTGCGTCCTCTCTTGCTGACGGTCCGGACCCTGAGTCTGACTTAGTTCGTGCTGCCAGTCCTACTGTCACACGTCTTCTAGCTACTGTTTTCGCTGACCCTTCGTTTGAGTCCGCTGCTGCGTCTGCCCTAGTTGCTGAGCTTGTTGCGCATGGTGTGTCAAACTAATATCTAGCTTACATTGTGTAGGCTGTAGTGGGGTAGCCCATATGGGGTACAACCCAATTAGGGTTAGTACTTGTACCCAACTCTTTGCTAGTTCATTCATTCTCGTTCATTATTCTGACATGGTTTCAGAGCAGGTCCTTCGCTAGGACCGATTTTTTAGGGCCCACCACAGAGCTGCCCCACTAGCTGCCCTGCCCTACTAGCGCGCCGCCCTGCTGGCTCACGCGCCGCCCTCTGCGGCCCTCGTGCCGCACCTGCTGCCCCACGCGCCGCCCCTTTGCGGCCCGCCCGTAGCCCCTAGGCCTTGCGCGCCGCCCCTTGCGGCCCGCCCGTCGACCCTAGGCCCCGCGCGCCGCCCCTGCAGGCCCGCTCGTCGATCCTAGGCCCCGCTCTTACAGAGCGTCGTGAGCCTGAGTCTAGTCCTACCTCGCCTGTTCAAGCTGTTCGCACTGGTTGTCGTGTTCCTCGTCCGCGTCCTCCTTCTGTCCCCGGCACTCACATTATGGCACTTCGTCCTTCCTCTGTTCCACTGCGAGTTCCCTTGCCGTCTCCTCCTGCGTCTTCTCTTGCTGACGGACCGGACCCTAAGTCTGACTTAGTTCGTGCTACCAGTCCTACTGTCACACGTCTTCTAGCTACTGTTTTCATTGACCCTTCGTTTGTGTCCGCGGCTGCGTCTACCCTAGTTGCTGAGCTTGTTGACTTTGCTGCCACCAGTCGTCTCGACTACGCCGCTAGTCTTGTTGCTGAGTCTGGGTCTGACTGTCCTCCGTCCGTCGGGGGTGAGTGTGCTCTTGGCACGGACGTCCTGGAGGACAAGCAGGACGACTTTGAGTTTCTTGCAGCTTCTGTACCTCATCTCGTGGCCATGCTGCTTGCACCTGAGGGAGACCCAGATGCACCAGACATCCCGACCCCGCGCTCTTACACAGAGGCGATTACGGGTCCTTACTCCTCTCATTTGCAGACAGCCATGGACGCAGAGATGGCATCCTGGAAGTCCACAGGCACCTACGTCGATATAGTTCCCCCGTCTGGGGCGAACATAGTCGATGGCATGTGGATTTTCAGGGTGAAGCGGCCGTCGGGTTCTCCGCCTGCCTTCAAGGCTCGTTACGTTGCACGAGGCTTCAGCCAGCGAGAGGGAGTTGACTTCTTCTAGACCTTCTCCCCTACCCCGAAGATGACCACTCTTCGGGTGTTGCTGCACGTCGCAGCTCAGCGTGACTACGAGCTGCACTCCCTGGACTTCAGCACAGCTTTTTTGCAAGGCAGCCTGCACGAGGAGATCTGGCTGCGCCGCCCACCTGGCTTCACTGGGTCGTTTCCTGCAGGTGCCCAGTGGAGCCTCCGGCGGCCAGTCTACGGTCTTCGCCAGGCCCCTCGCAACTGGCACAACACACTGAGGACTACACTTGTGGCTCTTGGGTTCGCTCCTTCCACTGCTGACCCGTCGCTGTTTCTACGCACCGACACCTCGCTGCCGCCGTTCTACGTCCTCCTGTACGTCGACAACTTGGTCTTTGCCACTGCTGACACTGAGGCACTGGCCCTTCTGAAGTCGGAGCTGCTGAAGAGACACACCTGCACTGACCTGGGTGAACTGCGCAACTATCTTGGCTTGCAGATCACCCGGGACAGAGCTCGGCGCACCATCACCTCGACTCAGTCACACATGGTGCACCAGGTCCTTCAGCGCTTCGGCTTCCGGTACTCCTTGCCACAGTCCACTCCTCTGCCTACCGGTCACTCGCTCTCAGCTCCACCTTCGGACGAGTCCGTAAAGCCGAGTGGCCCATATCCAGAGCTTGTGGGCTGCCTCATGTACCTGATGACCTGCACTCGACCTGACCTTGCCTACCCTCTTAGCATCCTGGCACGCTATGTTGTGCCTGGGAGACACCGACCAGAGCACTGGGAGGCCGCTAAAAGGGTGTTGCGCTACTTGTGCAGTACGTCGGGCATGGGGCTCGTGCTTGGAGGACGGTATCCAGTTGTCCTCACTGGCCATGCGGACGCTTCTTGGGTTGACGACTTGGCTACGCAGCGGTCGTCACAGGGTTACACTTTCAGCTTTGGCTCTGGCTCTGTCTCTTGGCGGTCTACCCGCTCTTCTTCTGTTCTTAGTTCCAGTTGTGAGGCTGAGATCTACGCAGGGGCCATGGCTGCACAGGAGCTACGCTGGCTGACCTACCTGCTGACTGACCTGGGAGAGCGGCCTTGTTCTTCTCCAGTTCTGTACGTAGACTGACTTGTGTCACGAGCACCGAACGAAGCACATCGCTCTGCGTTACTTCCTTGCTCGAGAGTTGCAGCAGCGTGGTCAGCTTCGTCTTGCTTACGTGGCCACTAGGGCCAACACTGCTGATATATTCACCAAGGCACTTCAATCTTGTGATCATCAGCGTTTCTGTACTATTCTAGGCCTTGTGGCTAATTTGCCTCACCTGGTCACTGCTTGACTTGCTTGTACTGTGATTTTTATATATATATACCTGCATGCTTACACTTGCTAGGGTATGATCACTGTTTTGTTTGTTCTCTTCTATATAACTCTGCATGTGAATTAGCCTTGTGGCCTTCGCTTGTGCTCGGACTGTGTGGTGACTTTGTGATCCACCCTGAGCTTGCTTTGCTTTTCTTGACTGGTCTTGTGACCAATTGTTCTCCCCCACTTTACCTATGGGGGTGTGTCAAACTCATATCTAGCTTACATTGTGTAGGCTATAGTGGGGTAGCCCATAAGGGTTACAACCCAATTAGGGTTAGTACTTGTACCCAACTCTTTGCTAGTTCATTCATTCTCGTTCATTATTCTGACATGGTGTTCTGGAGGGTCCTGTTCATCCTTTCTGCGACACCTTGCTGTTGGTGGGCGTAGGGAAGAGAGATGAGTCGCTTGATGCCTGTCTCCACCAGGTATTGCTTGAACCTTTGTGATTGATATTCTCCTCCCCCGTCAGGCTGAAAACTCTTTAGTTTCACTCCGGACTCCCTTTCTGCTACTGGGAGCCATGAGACGAAGGCTTCGAAGGCCATGTCGTGATTCGGTAGGTTGAGATGCCAGACGTATATGGTGGCGGCGTCGATGAATGTTATCACGCAGTGGTAGGCTCCTTGTCTGCTTTCGCGGGCGTACAGTATGTCGCTGTAGACTTTCTCCAGTGGTGCATATGCTGGCGCGCTCGGGTTGTGGTGAGAGACAAACGGTTGATGGGGTAAGTCGGCTTCGGGGCAGGTAAAACAGGTTCCACTGACTCATTGAAGTTCTGTGCCATCTGGTAAAAGTAACGAGTCCTTGTCAAGAACTCCTACTCTTATCGTGGTGTTGTTGGGATGTCCTAACCTTTGATGCCACTGTGATTCGTCGTCGCGATGTCCAGGTGATCGCCTGTACAGGTCGGAGTTGGACTAGAAGCTTGCAATGACGTTGGCGCTTCTGTGGACTTCGCGTGGAGCGGGAGTCAGCTGTTGAGCGGGAGTCGGCGTGGTGTCGTTAATGGGAGGTGACGATGTTGAAGGGCCGGCGATTGGTGCCGATGCTGTTGCCTCTGTTGAAAATATAGGGCTTTTATATGATTATAGAGAATATGAAAGGTTTCACTAACTGTAACTGCTAATGCGGTTCGATACAGCGACGACTCGGGTAACTGCTCAATGGCGAGTCAGTTGCCGTATTTGTCCTTGCTGTCGCGCTGCCTTTGTCGAGTCTAAGGTTGCTGACCTTTGACCTTCGCTTCAACCTCCTGCTGTTGTCGCCTTATCAACCGCTTCGCTGTAGCTTGGTTGACTCGGTGTTGCTTCGCTGCTGTGAGTCTGCTTCGTTCTTGTAAGAGTGTTCGACACATCAGAAGCGCGAACTATGTTTCCAAACCCCCCCCCCCCCCACCCTCCCGAATTTACGGATGGGGAATAATACGCTACGCATTTGCGGGTTCAGACATGAGCGAACACAGAATTGGGGCATAAATACCCTTCTTCTAGGGGAATGTGAGGTCTAAAAAAAAATATGTGGGAATCCCCTGGCAAAACCATTTCTGCAATTATCGCTCGAATGTAGAACCACGCGAGTAAATGGAGGTCACGTGTGCAACAAGCAATCTCGAAATCTAGGTTCCTTGTTCCTTGGGGGGGAACCATTTAGAAAACCTACAACCATACAACATTGGATATCATTATTGTAGTGAGGCTTCTGCCTAATGCGGTCACTGGCAGAGTCTGCGGCATTTCAGTGAGACTATCAGTGGAAACCACCTCTGCATCCTCGCTTTCAGACGTCCGTTGCACCTCCACCACACACGGGCTCGACCCGTCCATCAGCCCAAAAAACTCGAATTTAAATGAAATACTATAGTCCCCACCATCCTGGTTCACTATATAGATAGAGATGAAGTTCTTATCCGGGTTGAAGAACGATGCAATGCAGTGGTGACAACCGTCGCTCGTGTCGATTCTCAGCGGCACGCTCCCTCGCGGCGACGCCCGTGCCATCTGCTTCATCATGTAAAACTTTTTCGAAAACGTCATTTCCAGCGGAATGACCGTAGGGTCCGAAACATTGTTGTGCTTTATCGTGAGCAGCCCCCACCGGAAAGAATTAGGGTTTGTCGGGAGGTCCGGAGTGATTGGCTGCCAGTAAATCCAAGCCGACGCGCCCATGATGTTGATCGCTTGGATCGCCGATCGCATCATGAACAACCCCACATCGGTGTCCTCCCCTCCCGCCCACATCGGCCCAATCTCCGACACCCACACCTCCTTCCCCACCCCCATCCCCACCCGCGCTAACCACACATAAAGCTGCTCAATAAACTCTCTTGTATCCGTTGTGGTGGGCGGCGGGGGAACATACCCATGCACAGAGATCCTTTTCAGGCTGGATAGCAACTGGCCGGTCCATGTCTTTGCGTTTCGCACCGTAAACCCAACAAAGCTGTCGAACCCCGCGACTTGCGTGGGAAGCTTCCTTCGCTTCAGCGCAGCCGCTACGACCTTGCAAAGCCGCTCCAGCTCAGCAGCTGTGAAGCTGCAACCCTCGTGCTTTCCCCCCTGCGTCCACCACCCCTCCAGCGGCTCATTCGCCGGATTCATCGTGCTGAACGTCACGTTCCACTCCCGCCGGAAATGTTCCATGATGGTCGCCAAATACTCGGCAAACGCGCCGTACATATCGGGCCGGAGGTTCGATTTGCCGCCCACATTCCCCGCGGTATCCCCACTGATGGTCATCCACCAGGGCGGAGAGTACGCAATTGCCTCTACCTCATCTACGCCTCGCTCCACCGCTCCTTTTAACACCTTCCGCTGCCGCCAGTCCGCCGCCCAGTCGTACGGGCCGGCCTCTGTCGGCTTGTAGCCGGGGAGGTTGACCTGGTGAAAGGTGTCTTTGGTGAGCTGCGGGCTGTTGGTGGCGTTGAAGCTGGCGCCCAGCAGGTAGCGCGCGAGGTTGAACCCGATTCCCGTGGACGGTGAGAAGAGCAGGTCCAGCAGCGTGGTGAGCTGATCGTCTGGCAGCTTGCCAATGTAGTTGGCAGTCCTGGTGGATGGGGAGGGGCAGGGGGGGGGCAGGGGGAGGGCAGGAGGAGGGCAGGAGGAGGGCAGGAGGAGGGCAGGAGGGGGAAGGGGAAGGAAAGGGGGAAGGGCGAAGGGGGAAGGGGCAGGGGAAAGGGCGAGAAGAGCAGGTCGGGGAGCGTGGTGAGGTGGTCGTCTGGTAGCTTGCCAATGTAGTTGGCAGTCCTGGTGTGAGAAGGGAGGGCAAGGGGGAAGGGAGGAGGGGGAAGGGATTTTGGAAAGGGGGTAAGATGGGGAGAACAAGGGGCGAGTTGGTGGGGTGGGAGAGGTGAGAAACTGAGTTGGATGGGAAATAGGTGGCTCAGGTGATTGGCAAACGAGGGAGCCGGAGGGACAAGAGAGAGCAAGGAAGGGATTTGGTGAAGGGGAATAACAGGAAGGGGAGGGCAGAGAAGAGGAATGATGCTGCTGCCTATTCAATCTCTGCTGTGAAGTTCATTATCCATGCACTCACTCTTCATGCCAAAGACGTGCTCTCTCTCTCTCTCTCCACGTCAAAGCCTCAGGTGGCTTTTGAGAATTCCCAAGAACCAGCATGGCACCATGGTAGTAAAGTCATGCTCTCTCGCACTCACCACTCTCTCGCACTCACCACGCCAACGACGTGCCCCAGCCTCTCCAGGTCTGCCCACTGAGATCCGGACTGATGGTGATGGTGGCTGTGCCTGGAAGACGGGGAGGGGGAGGAGGGGGAGAGAGGGGAAAGGGGAAAAACGGGGGGGGAAGGGGGGGGTGGGGTGGGGGGGGGCACGGGTACTGGTCAGGCGTGCATGGGAGACCTGGGTAGCGTTAACAAATGACGCCCAGACTGATGGCGATGGTGGCTGGGGCTGGCAGACAGAGAGGGGTATGAGGGGGAGAGAGGAGAGAGGAGGAGGGAGGGGAAAAAGGGAGAGGAGAGGGGGGTGGGGTGGGGTGGGGGGGGTGGGGAGGGGTCAGGTCACGCATGCATGGAAAGGTTAATGCAGATCAGCGGTTGATGGAGATGGTGAGTCACACGTGCATAGGAGACTTGGGTAATGCAAGCCCGGACCTGGAGTCATGCAAGCCCGGACCTGGAGTCATGCAAGCCCGGACCTGGAGTCATGCAAGCCCGGACCTGGAGTCATATGATGTTAACAAATGACGTCCGGACTGATGGTGATGGTGGCAGGGGCTGAGGCAGGGAGAGGGGGAAGCGGGGGAGAGAGGGGAGAGGAGGGGGGAGGGCTCTGGTCAGGCGTGCATGGGAGACTGGGTAACGTTCACAAATGACGTCCGGACTGATGGTGGTGGTGGCTGGGCCTGGCGAGGCAGGGGAGCGAGGGGAGGGGGGAAGGAAGGAAGAGAGCAGGAGACGGGAGGGGGAGGTAAGGGCAGTGAAGGTGATGCTGGCTGGAGGTGGCGATGAGGGAGAGAGGGGGGAGTGAGGGGGAATGATGATGGTTATGCTGGCAAACGGGAGTGGGGAGCGGGAAAACGGGAACGGAGAGGGGGAAAACGGGAGCGGGGAGGGGAAAACGGGCGCATAGGAAGAAGAGTTGGGAAGAGAGGGAAGGGAGGGTTGAGAAGAAAGTTTAGAGAACAGCTGAGGTGGATTGATGGCCATGCCACGTGTTATGCTGCTGCCATTCCACACTTTCCAAGCTTCTGCCATGCCATGTGTGTGAGGGTAAGGAGTATCGACTCAGTGAGACTGGCCATCCGTACGGCCATAACCGAACCTTCTCCGCCCATCTCAACCCATCTGAACCCATCACCCACTCACCACACCTCCCATCACCTCCCATCACCCCCCATCACCCCCCATCACCGGCAGCCTCCATGCAAGCCCTACCAGCGGAGCGGCACACAGTGATGACTTCATTCGGGGGGATGAGAGTCGACGCCGCCGCCGCCGCCGCCGGCTCCGCTCCTCCCGGGACCCCCGTTCCTCCCATCACCCCCGCGCCCCCCGTTCCCCCCATCACCCCCGCTCCCCCCGCTACCACCGCTCCCCCCGTTCCCCCCGAGCCTCCCGCGCTGCTCTCTGCCTCCAGCGGCGCCCACACGGTGCTGGCGCGCCACTTGTTGCGCGCCACGTCCAGCAGATCGCCCCGCGTCGCCGTCTCAGGCTCGTCCCCCCCGCCACTGCCGCTGCCGCTGTTGCTGAACGGAGTGGATGCGCCGGCGTGCGGGGGGGAGTCGAGCGGGGGGGAGGGCTGCGCGGAGTGCAGCGAGAGGTGGTTGAAGCAGGCGGGGTCGAGGAGGGCGGGCGGAAAGAGCTGCGGAAGGAGCGCCTGCAGCGCGCACGGGTCGAGCTCCACCTCGCGCAGCGGCGGCGCTGGCAGCGGCGGCGGAGGCGGCGGCGGAGGCGGCGGCGGAGGCGGGTTGACGCGAGCAACCGTCGCGACGCCCGCGGCGGCGATGCTGGGTTGCTGCTGTGCGACGAGCAGGCGATGCGACGGGGAGCGCGTCGCGTGCGACTGTTCTGCTCGTGACGAGTCGCCGCCAAGAGCGTCTGAATTGTCAAGGTCGAGAAACGGGTGTAGCAGCGACCAGGCGGTACTAGGGAAGTCGGTCGAGCCGTGATTTGACGATGGTGACTCATCGTCGCGTGAGTCCGGCTGGTGAAAAGATGAAAGGGCGTGCCGGGCGGACGGTAGTAGGGACGACGCGGGGTTGGCGGCGGAGGCGGCGGAGGCGAGAAGCAGCACGCAGCACGCGGCGGATAACGCCGCGGAGAGGCCGGTGGCTGCAAAGATGGAGAAGCCGCGTGAGGAGTGCAGGGGGAGGCTGTGAGGCGGAGCCATGTACGCCCGCGACGGTCGTCTGCCCCGCTGTCTATCTGTAACTGTTTCAGGCCACATTATATCACGGGTTCGCCGTCTATTGCGCGTTTCAGGCAGGATTAATTAGGAGGCACCATCCCACGTGTGCGTGTCCGAGCGATTCTCGGCGTCAAAAGCGCGCGGCTCAAAGAAAAGCTTTTTGTGCAAAAGCGCATCGCAAGAAACTCAGCGCGTTGCTGGCAGGTCAGTGTGGTCTGGGCTGAAGCACCCACTGCTCTATCTCTAACCAAACTCAACACCTTCGCATGTTCGGTTTGGAGGAATCCAACACTATCACCGTACTGTACCGACATCAGCGACCGAAGGACGACAGGCGATATCTGCGAACACGGATTCGCGAGCGAGCGATGCGATACGACCATGCGAGTACATTACAGTACAAAGTCGTGCTGTCGGTGAGCTTCGGGGTTCAGGGCCTCACACCAAACTGGAACCAGAATCAACGAGGCTGACAGAGCAACTGATACCTACTAGGTATCTACATTACAATACAAGCAAAGAAGTGTAGCCATGCTGTTATGAGTTGTAAAACAGAGTTGCGCGGAATAACAAGGCTGTGACTCAACGAACTGACACTACAATGAAGGCACGTGCTAATATAGTGACTAGCCTAGCTATGAGGGAACCTCGGGAGTGTGCGGTTGGGTGCAGGTTTGGCGAGCGGAAATCCGAAGGCGACGTGAGGCAGCCTCGGAATTGTGGATGTCGGCTGAACGTGCGAAGTCCGAAATGTCGGGGTTGTACGCGTAGCAGTCAACCCTGATAAGGAAATTAATTTTCCTTACACTTTACTCGACACCCCCCCTCCCCCCCTTCTTAAGAAATGTGGTTAATGTCAACAGCTCGCTAGCAGGCAAGATAATCACCAAGAAGCGGGGAAGCTTCAAGCGAGGTGGATGTCACCCAGGTATCGTCTTCACTGGTGCGGTCAGTCCAACGGACTAGAAAGTCGACGTGGCGGCCAGAGGTGTCGAGCCAAACACGATGCGCCAAAATCTTTGACAAATCGTGTGTCGGTTCCAGGACAGGCCGAGCTGTCAGGGCGACGTTCTGGTGGGCGATGTCTGTCGTGGCAGGCACAAACTTGCGAAGGAGGCTGACATGGAAGGCGTCGTGCACACGCCAGTCATCGGGTAGCAGCAGCTTTCGCGGTAACAGGTATCACTATCTGGACGATACGAAATGGCCCACAAAATCGTGGCCGTGGTTTTGACGAGCCAGATAGGCGAAGATTTTTTGTGTCCAGCAGCACTAGTTGCCTAGCCGTCGTGATGATTTCCTGTCGCATAAGATCCCTGTATCTGCGTAAGTTGTATTAGCCTTGCGAATTACGTCGGCTGCTTTTTCGCGGATCTCCTGGAGTTCTGTCACAACGTGTTGTGACCGTGTGACCGGGTTGTTGAGTGTATTCGTGGTTGGCACCACTGGGTCCATCCCGTAATTTAGGAGAAACGGGGAGTGATTCCTCGTGCTGGATGGGGCATTGTTGAACGCAAACTCCAGCATGGCGAGCGAGTTTTCCCAACGAGCATGGTCGGGGCAGTTCGTGCGGATGAGCTGCTCCATCGACTGATTGTTCCGCTCGGTCCGGCGGTCGTTTTGCGAGTGGTAGGCTGACGAGAACTGTAGCTTCGTGCCGTACTGCGCCCACGTCTCTTTCCAAAAAATCGAAGTGAACTTCGGGTCCCTGTCGCTAACGATCGCTGACGGGATGCCGTGCAATCGGTGTCAAACTTGTATGCTGCACATTGTGTAGTTTGTAGTGGGGTAGCCTATATGGGGTACAACACAACTCAGGGTTAGTACTTGTACTCATCCTGCTGCTAGTTCATTTCATTCTCGTCTGTTATTCTCACATGGAATCAGAGAAGGTTAGTTTTTGGGCCCACCACCTGCTACACTGCGACTCTCTCGTTCCTAGCCCCGCACCCGGCCCGTACCTCGCCCGCGATAGGCCCGTACCTAGCCCGCGCCCGGCCCAGTCTCTTGCCCGCGCCTGGCCCGTACCTAGCCCGCGATAGGCCCGTACCTAGCCCGCGCTCGGCCCTTTCTCACGCCCGCGCCCGGCCCGTTCCTAGCCCGCGATCGCCCCGTCGACACCCGCGCTCGGCCCCGTACCTAGCCCGCACCCCGTCGACGCCCGCGACTGGCCAGTACCTAGCCCGCGACCCGGCCCCGTACCTAGCCCGCGATCGCCCCGTCGACACCCGCGCCCGGCCCCGTACCTAGCCCGCGCCCTGTCGATGCCCGCGACCGGCCCGTACCTAGCCCGCGACCCGGCCCCGTACCTAGCCCGCGCCCTGTCGACACCCGTGCCCGGCCCCGTACCTAGCCCACACCCCGTCGACACCCGCGCCCGGCCCCGTACCTAGCCCGCGCTCGGCACCGTACCTAGCCCCGCGCCCGGCCCCTTCCCTAGCCCGCGCCCGGCCCCTTCCCTAGCCCGCGCCCGTCGACGCCCGCCCCCGGCCCAGTCCCTCGCCCAGCGCCCGGCCCCGTACCTAGCCTGCGCCCGGCCCCATACCTAGCCCCGGCCCGTCGACACCCGCGCCCGGCCTCGTCCCTCGCCCAGCGCCCGGCCCCTAGTTTGGCCCCTCGGCCCCAGTTCAGAGCCCAGCGCCCGGCCCCGTTCTTGCCCAGCGCCCGGCCCCGTACCTAGCCCGCGCCCGGCCCCGTACCTAGCCCGCGCCCGGCCCCGTACCTAGCCCGCGCCCGGCCCCTCGGCCCCAGTTCAGAGCCCCGCGCCTGGCTCCTTGTTTGGCCCCTCGGCCCCGCCCCTCGGCCCCTTGGCCCCTAGCCTCGGCCCCTAGGCTCGGCCTCCTCGGCCCGTGTGTTTGGCCCCTCGGCCCCCTAGGCCCCTCGGCCCCAGTTCAGAGCCCAGTGCCCGGCCCCGTACCTGCCCACTGCCCGGCCCCATACCTAGCCCGCGCCCGGCCCCGTACCTAGCATGCGCCCGGCCCCTTGTTTGGCCCCTCGGCCCCGCCCCTCGGCCCCGCCCCTCGGCCCCGTCCCTCGGCCCCTAGCCTCGGCCCGTAGGCTCGGCCTCCTCGGCCCTCGTGTTTGGCTCCTCGGCCACCTAGGCCCCTAGGCCCCTCGGCCCTCGTATTTGGCCCCTCGGCCCCCTAGGCCTCTCGGCCACCTAGGCCTCTCGCCCCCCCCCCCTAGGCCCCTCGGCCTCTCGGCCCCCCCCTAGGCCCCTCGGCCCTCGTGTTTGGCCCCTTGGCCCCCTAGGCCTCTCGGCCACCTAGGCCTCTCGGCCCCCCCTAGGCCCCTTGGCACCTAGGCCCCTTTTTTGGCCCCTCGGCCCCTAGGCCCCTCGGCCCCGCCCCTTGGCCCCTTAGCTACTGCTACTGTTGCTCCTGCTGCTACTGCTGCTCCTGGGTCCTGTGCCACTATGGCGTCGCTTAGAGTTCTCTCGTTCGACCCGGAGGGCAGACCTGTAGCATTTGACACGTGGCACGACGATCTGCAACTGTACCTACTGAGCGAACTTAAGGACAGTGTCTCACTGTTTGACCACGTGTCCGGTGCCGCTCCAGCCCCTCCCGCCACAGCTGACGTTTCGACTCGTTCCCAGTGGCTGTCTCGTGACGCTACTGCCCGCTTAGCCATTCGCAACCACCTGCCCGCGACCGAATGTGCTCACTTTGGAGAGCACAGGACAGCACAGGCCCTATATGACGCTGTAGTTGCTCGCTACTCCTCCCCTGCCACTGCTGCTATTGGCAAGCTGCTACTGCCCTACCTGTTCCCCGAGCTGTCGGCTTTTGCCACAGTAGCGGACCTGGTTACCCACCTGCGCACCAGCGACGCTCGCTACCGCGCTGCCGTCCCTGCTGAGTTCCTTCCCACGAACCAACCCCCCATGTTCATCACCCTCTACTTCATAGTCACTCGCCTCCCTGACTCCCTTCGCTCTGTCAGGGACCACTTCCTCACCCTCGACCCCACCTCCCTCAGTGTTGACCTCCTCGAGCAGCATCTCCTCGCAGCTGAGACTAGTGCAGTTGCTGTAGGTGCTGCTCGTGGCACTCCGCGCTCACCCTTCTTTGAGGGGTGCTCCCCCTCCCCCCTTTCCTCCTCCTTCGCCTCTGCTGCTGCTGCAGACGTCTCTGTTCCTGAGGACGTTGGTGCTGCTTCGACTAGTGCGAAGCGCCGAAACAACAAAGGCAAGGGTGGCCGGGGTAGTGGAGGAGGCAGCGGTGGTGGTGGAGGTGGCAGTGGGAGCGGTAGTGGGGGCAGTGGTAGAGGAGGTGGAGGCGGTGGAGGTGGTGGCGGCGGTGGGACTGGTGGCGGCGGTGGAGGCTCTGGTGGCGGCGGTGGAGGCAGCGGAGGGAGTGGCGGCAGTGGAGGCGGTGGGACTAGTGGTGGTCGGTCTGGACCTCAGCGTGGAGGCCCTGGTGGTGGTTGGGGCCAGCAGCAGCAGCGTCGGAGCGAGACCCAGACGCCCCAGCAGCTCCGTGAGTGGTTGGTTCAGCGTGGGGCGGGTGAGGGTAGTGAGACCTGCCCGTATGTCATTCGCACGGGTGCCCGTGCGGGCCGGACATGCGGGAAGTTTCACACTGAGCGCCGCTGCTTTGCCCGCCTTGACGACGCCTGGCGTGCTGAGTTTGGTGACGACGTTGAGCGCCCTTGCTGGGCGCAGTTGCTTCAGTCAGGAGTTGCTATCTTTGACCTAGACTATGATGTTATTATCTCTGCCATGTATGCTTTGTCTTTTAGTGCTGAGGGTGACTGTTACCAGTGTGTGCCACCTGACCCAGGTATAGCGGCTGCTGCTCTAGGTGCTAGTGCGTCTGGTACTCCCCCTGGTACTACACCTGCTGAGGCCTTGCACATTTTCACGTTGGACTCCGGCGCCTCGCACTGTTTCTTTCGTGACAGCACCACTCTCCCTCCTCTCCCTGCACCTGTCCCGGTCAGACTGGCTGACCCCTCTGGGGGCCCGGTCGTTGCCAGTTCCTCCACTGTCCTCCCGTGTCCGGTGGTTCCGTCCGGCTCACTGTCAGGTCTTCACC